GTCTTGTTGACTTGGTGGTCCTATCAACAGCTCCTCTGGAAAGACTCCTAGATGCTCCCAAACGATTGGTATGCTCTTTGGTGATGGTTTTTCCATCTTGATCCCAATGACTATCTTCAAAACTTTTCAGCGACTCTTCTTAAAAGAATTCTTTTCATGGTCTTCAATACATGGGGCTTTACTCTCGACTTGTTACACCGAAGGTAATCTTATCGTCTCCTTCCAGATGAAGTGTCGTCTCGCATGGGGCTTTTCTCGAGGCTTAGCCACCCCCGAGAGTCATGACAGTGTTACGCATTAGATTTTTGACAACCACTGTAGTGTCGAACAATGACGTGTACACGACACCAGCTTCCACCCCTGGCTCTCAATTGGTTAGATTCTAGCACACACATATATAGGTCCTATTGACAACGGTTTTAGACCTCCAAATCATCACACACACGTATGACCTTGTGAGCTAGCACTACAAGAAATTTTGCAAAACATGACGAAAAAATTCGTCATGTAAAACTTGTTTTTCGTCACAAAAGTACAATGATGACAAAATTTTATCGTCACAGCGATCGTCACCGTAGCCGCGTCATATTAGGTATAGGTGACAAATTTCGAATTTGTCACCAAATGTTTCACTTTTAATGACGTTTTTAATTTTCTTCATGTTATTTGGTCAATTTTCGTGACAACAATTTCGTCACGTTTAATATGAAAAATTTGTCATATAAACGATTATTTTGTCATAAAAAGACAAGTTTTAAATGACGAAAACTTACATTCGTCATCTAAATTATATTGTTTAGTGATGAATTATATTTTTTTTTTATCGAATTTATAATATTTCAATGACGAATATATTTGTGGCGTTTTCTTTAAAATAATCGTCATATTTCATAGAATACGTCATCAAAACGTTGTTCTATAATTATAAAATACTGGTCGTCATAAAAATTTTATTTAAATATGACGATAACAAAAGTGTCACAAAAAAATAGAAGTAGTGACGAAATATTATTCGTCTCCAAAAACATCTAAAAGCGACGAAATCTTTTGTCATGAAATATTAGCTTTATGATTACGAAAAAAATGATTGTCATCAAAAGCTTGAGATATAATGACAACATAAGTTGTCATGAAAAGGTAAATATTTAGTGACAAAAGTTATTGTCATTTTAATATATTATATGGTGACAAATCTAAACAAATACATCACGACTACATGTTGTCAAAAAAAGTTTATTTTCAATGACAATTAAAATTAGTCACTATTACAAATATAATGATTGTCATTAATTGCAGATATTTAGTGATATATTTATTTGTCATCAAATATATGATACAGTGACAAAATTTATCGTCACTTTAAACAATTACGTCATTAAAAAGAAATTACAGTGGCAAAATCAATATATATAATATATCATGGTAAAATGTTCTAGATGATAAATAAAAGAAAACGACAATAATAGTAATTGTACTAATTAAAAACATAAGTAAACGAACTAACAATCTCAAAATGTGCCAAATAAAATAATAATAATAATAATAATAATAATAATAATAATAATAATAACAAAGCCTAACAATCTCAAATTTGGATCCTAGTGGCAGCCATGAAAGCCATAAGTTTGTCGACTTTTGCACCTTTTTGACTTAGTTGATCTTTCAAATTACTAACTTGGTCCTTAAGCTCAAGCACTTCAGATTCTTTTCCACGCAGTTTTTCTTGTGTCTCTAGAAGTTCCTTCTGGCCGTTCGAGTCATATGCTTTGCGTCTACTTGGCGGCCTCGGGCCATACCCGTAACCTTTTATATATCCGGCTCCATGGCCAAGAACCTCAAGAAGTATATCTTGTGCACTCTTCTCAGTGCCTTGTTCAGAATATTTTTCTCTCCTTGATATCATCAAGTCCTGACAAATAGCAATAAAAACAATATAATCATATTGATATTCATTTCAACAATTAGAATAAGAGATTGTGCATGCAACTTACCCAGTTTCCTTCTACCTCTTTTGTTGACCAACCACCTTTTTCCTTATAATGCGTACGCTTATAAAGTTCAATCATATCTAGTGGTCCTCCATTCATCTCCTTCTCAGACTACAGATTTTTTTAACAATAAACATAAATAGTTTAAATAAAAAAACTAATGATCATAAATAAATTAATATCTTGAACATAAACTTACTATTTCATGTTGAAGAACAGTAAAAGGTGTTCGGCCCGAAACATGTGGAGCACACAACATTTGTCGATTCATCCCATTAACCAAACTTTGGTGCTGCCAAAACATAAATACTATTATTGAACACTAGAAAACTAAAAAGAAAACTACAAATTTAATATGCAAATAGAATAATAATGTTATAATGCATTACCTTGAATTTAGGCGATGCAAAAAGCTCACACATTTCTTCCCAGTTTTCTTGACTAACACAAAAAGACGGCTTGTTATTCTTAGCTTCTTCATGAGAGGAATATTTCTTATAATGTTGGTGTAGTCTATAACGTTTTTGCCTTGAACTACCTTGGACTCTATGAATCACGCAACGTCTCACACCTGGATCATCCAAGTTAATATCCATATGGATGTACACAAATAAAAATGGGATCATTTAAGGTGATATAAAAATATATTCATGCAACTTGAAAAATGTTTCTAATTTTTACCTTTATATGATCAATGGCAGGTTGAAGATCTTTTCTTCATCAACATCTTTCCACCTTATTGGCACCGGAAGGACATCTCGAGTGACTACACCAATTTGACTAGAAAATTTTGAAGACTCGTCTCTCCTTTTAGGTCTTCCTATCGATGGATCCACCGTTATCTTCATTTTTTTACCACAAGCCTGAAATGCCTTCATAATACCTTTGCCCATTGTTTGTCCACGCCTTTTCTTACTGGTGGTATCGGTGGTATTGGAAGCTGCATGTTCACCACTCAATAAGTATGATGGTTATTTTAATTAGTCGAAAGCTTCCTACTCATAAGACTTTATTTTATCAAAATACTGTGAAATGCAAAGGCACATGTATATATATAGAACATGCATGTTTTTTATGTTATACAAGTCACTGGAGTTCCAAAGTAGATTTAATGACACATTTATCAACAATTAGCAAATAACTTCACCAAAGAATTCTGCACGATAAATTTTCATACTACAGTTTGACAAACCACATTAAAAACAAAGATATCTTCTAAACCAACAAGTAAATCCACCAAGTAAATTCTTAACAAAAAACTAAAACGAATGTAAGAAAGAAATGTACAAAAGTCACCCCAGCAACAAAAAAACTGTGTCCCTGTTCCATATACAAAAAACATGAATTTTCTTCACATATATCATGTAAGAAAGTCACCCAAGATCATTTACGAAAGTCACCCCAACAACAAATGTAAGAAAGAAATGTACGAAAGTCACCCCAGATCATTTAAAGAAATGTACAAAAACCTGTGTCCCTGTTCCATATACAAAAGTCACCCCAGTCCAGCAACAAATGTAAGAAAGAAATGTACTTTATCACGACAATTTAAGAGCATTATTAAGATATATTATATATATACTTGATTTCGTCCAGTATACTTGTCTTAATAATTTGATTAAACAAATTGGGTGTTTTGTTTTTGTTCCAAACTCATATGCAGCTAAAGGGGAAGGACCAAGTAATGTACTTCAAAGAAGCAATTAATGGTTCCCATTGAGTTTAGAAAATTCTATCAACAATAACAGGACAGCAGGCTTTCATATAAATAAAGAGATCAAGGCACCAAGTGACCACATGCTAAAACTGTCCATTTTTAAATAAACCCACAAGTTTGTACCGGATTATAGCCAGTCTTCTAACGACAGAAAATTAGAGATATCACTGATGTTTTGATAAATTAGATTCACACAGTTATAAAACATGATAATACACTGTTATGCACCAAAGTATGCGTTTGTTGCATGTGATCAACTAACGGAAAGAAAATGACAAGATGATGAAGAGCTGTAAAATACCACCAGCAAAAAGCAAATGCAGATTCTAAATACCGAATAGAATGTTCAGGTCCCAAAAACTAGCATGCTGCAAAATATTTTACTTATTGGAAGTTTGGGGTTACAGTGCATTAATTACAGTGCATGCAAACATTTTTTTACTAAAACCAACTGCAACATTTTCGTCAGGAAAATATAATCACATTAAATGCTCTCATTGTTAACTGAAATTGCTAAAGCAACCTGATCGGTTTCAAGTGACAATTGTAACAGATCTATCAACAATAACAAGACGGCAGGCTTTCATATCAATAAAAAGATCAAGGCACCAAGTGACCACATGCTAAAACTGTCCATTTTTAAATAAACCCACAAGTTTGTACAGGATTATAACCAGTTAGAATCGGCAGAAAATTAGAGATATCACACAGTATATATAAATTATCACACAGTATATATCAATTGCCTAAGAAATGTACTTTATCACACAGTATATATGTATTATCATATGTGGTTGATGAAGTGAACCACAATTAACCGGTGGAGTAATTCAGGATAATTCTGGAGTGGTTTGATCAATTCAATACTATAACTATCTACACTTCCCTTTATATTTAATTAGCAGTTAGCTAGGCTTCATATAGCTTATATATATTTATTTGATGAAAGAAATAATAGAAAAATCCAAGACAGGAAACAGACAGACGAATTTGCTTCACATATATAATGTACGATACATCAATTGAGTCAATTAATCCAACAGATAAATAGTAGGAGAAAAAACAAAAGAATCAATAAATCAAAATACATACCAATGATATCTGTTCCTACAGCATGTTTAGCATGTTTTTGGAACTGTAAAATCACAACAATTTCGGAGTATAAGATACGTACCAATGATATCTGCCTGAGGTGATTGAGGCTGTTGATTTCCCTGATGTGATGGTGGAGATTCAGGAGTGTTTCCATGTGGCTGACTTTGATTTTGCAAATCATTTTGCCGAGTTTGAGGAGTCTAAACTTCTGGCATAAGAGTACTCTCCTTTTGCTGAGTTTGAGGAGGCTGAGGCTGAGGTTGAATAGTTGCCATGTTTCCCTCGAACGTCGGATTCGCATTTTCGCTTCGTATAGACGAGCCATCAGTTATTGGCAATCCCTTGTTCACTTTGTCTGATGCCATATCGGTTTTCTCAGATTGTCGGGTGTTACTCTTTGCTAAACCTCCTATCTTTGTCATCTTTGTCAGGTGTTCTTTGAGACTCTGCCGAGAATTATTTGGTATCATTCTTGGTTTTGGATTCCGAACTAATCCCGGAGCCATTTGAAAAATCTGTACGAGGAAAAAAAAACCATCAAAGTTTGAGGCAAAAACAAATCCATCCAAAAAGAATGAAAAACTTGAATAATAGCAGCCAAGTATATACTTATTCAAAATCAATGTAAGGCACAACCAAACAATCTACTATTGGGTAAAAAATCTGTAAAACATAAAGAAGCAAATAAATCTAGAGTCTGTAGACCTCGAGTTCCTCAAGAACACGCTGATGCAAAAGAGAAGGCGGGTTATAACTTTGTTAATTGTTTGCGTAATATTGAACTTATATGAGTGAGAGGGAGAGGAGAGATATTAGCAGAAGATACGATCACATTTAATTCAGTCTTATCTACCTTAAATAGATAAGAGTACCGAAATGAAACGAGGCAGTGAGTGCCAAATAAAAATTTTTCGCCGCCAATATTTTAGTGAATAAGATTGGCCAAAGTTAGACCGAATAGCCTTAGTTAAGTTAATTTTTTGAACAAAAAACCAAAAAATAGGGATGATTCATATGAGCATAAATTGAACCCGAACCTGTGGTGCCCGATTACCATGGGCGTGGCGAGCCTCTGCACCGGCGTGACCGACGACCTGACCTCCTTCGAGAAGTGTCTGTCCCTCGGCCACAACACCTGCTCCTCTAAGATGCAGACTCGGTCGTCACCTCGCTCCACTCCCAAACCTCACCCTCCGCCGCCTCGTAGACCTTTCTATAACGCACGACCGCCGCCTCCATCCTCGTCCTCGCCGACGACTTCGAGCACCAGGTGGCAAACATCATCAATGGAGGAGGATTCAATTCCTATTCTCTCAAGAAATTGATGCAGTTTTGGGTTGAAATTGGGAGATGGGCTCGAAATTGGGATTATTTGTGTCGAGATTTTTGGGCATTTGTGGCTTATTGGGCTAAATTCTGGTTAGCAGGGTGCCGAGATGTTTAGGAAGGAGATGAATTTTGGCGGAGGATTCAACACCTGCTGAATTCTGGCAAGCGGGTGTCGAGATGTTAGGGAAGGAGATGTTAGGGCATTTGTGGCTTATTATGCTGAATTTTATTCTTAATGGTACCTTAGTAATTTTAGGTTATTATAAGGTATATTGTATAATAGTGTTTATAATAAAACTTGTTATATACAAAAATTTGTTAATTAGATATTATGTCAATTTAAATCATTCAAATATTACACATTAGTTATAGTTACATATGTAATATTTATTTATATAAAAAATATTATTAAATATATTAAATTAATTTTTTTTTGGTACAATATTAAATTAATTTTTAAAAACATTGGACTGGTTCAAACCGGTTTGATTAGTTGATTTTGACTGATTTCGACCGATTCAACCGATCATTATTGACTGGTTTTTAATTGATTCGCTGGCAACCGATTCATTACAGCACCGTTGCCTGACGGGAGGGGGGCACACTTATTTAATTAGGGTTTAAACAATTGGGGAAAGTGAGAATCGGTCAAGAGGAGGGAGTTCCTTCAATATCATTTAATAATGATGATAATTTAAAAATATATTGATTTTCTAAACCTTGAAAAAATGAAATCTTGTCTCGGAACAGTCACAGACATCAAATGCACAACATATTTGATCTCCACAGTTTAATCTTGAAACTCGAAATAAAAATTGTCCTATCTTGTCTAGGTTAACAAACGAAACCCTTAACTGATTATTATTATCAATATATTGTATTCGATCTCTACATTTTAATTTTAATACCCAGAATAAAAATTATACTTTTTTGTTTATGCTAACAAACGAGCCCTCACTTGATTATTGGAGAAGTTGTGATGTCATTGAGCAAGCGGTGGTAAAATTATTTGAAAAGTGAAATATATAAATAATAATTTAATTCTTAAAAAAATTTCAAATGTAAATAAATAACATATCTCTCCAACCCAATCAAGTGTACCTCACACACACACACAAATATATATATATATATATATATATATATATGTATAAATATATATTGATAAATATAAAACTTTGTCCAATCCAATCGCGTCATATTATCTAAAGTGCAATCTAAACTGAACTCAACCGAATTAAGAACTAAATTTTCATGCTTAATTATACTTGTTCGTCAACTAATTAAAAAAGTGTATTTTTATTATATATGGTGATCTCAGTCTTATTCAATCCTATAATTAAAATGATATATAAAGTTATAGAAGCACTTTGGACACATAAGATTTTTTTTTTTCCAAAAATCGAAAACCGAACAAAATCGGCGAAAAATTAAATCGAGACGTACCATTACTTTGTAATGATAACCGAATAATCCTCGATTCGATTTTGATACCTCACAATGTGGTTCAGTTTTAACCGAACCGAGTTGATATATAAATATATATATTAATTTATATTGAAATTTGATCTAGATTAGACAGTTCACCTTCACAACACTTCAATTTCTCTCCAATTGACCTTTGTAGGACTGTTATCGAACCGGACTATTCGCGTACAAACCTTGTTCATGTTAACAGCTCGTTCGTTTAGTAATCGATCCAAACTCGAACATGAAATTATGTTCATCTATTTATCGAATAAATACGAACAAGTTTGCGAACTAAACGAGCGTTCGCGAACAACTGAGTATTTTATAATTTTATATATATTATATATATAATTATATACATAATTTATATAAATTATACAGATATAATATATATATATATATATATTTATATATTTATATATAAGTATGGAAATGTGTTAATTATTAAATAACAACTTATATGGTACTTAAAAAAAAAACTAGCAAACACGAACACGAACATGTCGAATAATACAAGCACGAATATGTTCGACTATACAAACGAACGAATACAAACTTGACAAACCGAGAAACTAACGGACACAAATGGAAATTTTTGTTTGAATATTAAATGCACGAACTGTTGGGTTCGTTAGTACCGTACGGGCTGTACGCAGCGGAATTTAAAATTTTTAAAGTAAGTATTTATCGTATAAATACAACACCCGTACATACTAATTGCGAATTAACAGATCGTCATCTTTAAAATATGCATCATATACAAATTTTGATTTGTTATAATAAAGTAAATACTAATACGAAATATTTACCGAGTGTCTTGAACTCCTTCAACAAAGATGTGGATTGTGGGAATCGGTTCCCGGTTGTAACTTCAACGGCTTGAGGTTACTCGCTTTAGGAATCCAAATGTCTTCCCTCTAATCGTATCCACCCTATGAAGCCCGGTTCCGACG